AAATGTGGCGTTTACTTGAAAAAAGCGACATTACTTTCGGGACGACCTAATACTATCCGAGAAAATTTTCGAATTTTCCTAAGTATAATGCTTACCCTTCGTGCTGACTACCACCCTCGTAGCTCGACGTTTAAGAAAGATAATACTGATAAAAAATATTGGGTATTCAATTAACTTTATTACCTTCATGATCAGCATACCTTCTTGTGCCAACTCCCTTGTAGCTCATTGCTATTAATGATTGAAAGTAGGCTGCGTGAAACCCGTCCCTACTCGAAGTGGCAATTTGGTCCTGTTCGATTTAGAAGTGGTTATATTCTAATTTTCTACTTTTACACAATACCGAGTTTGTTTTATTATCAGGTCGGCCCCTAAGTTCTATCCTTTCACAACAAAGTATGTAACTTTGCGCTATTTAGTTATGGAGATTAAGTTTTCATCTTTTAAAAACTGTCTTGCCGAGCTTCTCGCACCGACTGCAAAGATAAAATTGGAAAAGGAAAATCATGTGAGCTTTGATCGTTTTGAGTTAGCTTCCCAACGGTCTGGTGCGCTGCATCAAGGTCTAAAGTCGTTAATACATACGTTTTTTGACCTGTTCTTTGCAACTAAGAAAGTTTGTGCTGTTTCTACGTTTCTGCGAAAAGTTATGATTTTCGATAAAAATAACAAATCGATTAATATAGCGTTTTCTGTAGTAAACGCGAAATTTATATAGGGACGTTCAAACAGCGCAAACTTCTCAGAGTTACAAAGAGTAGGTTATAAAGCCTATGCACTGACATTTCAAAATTTTCTGCAACGATTCAGATTTTTGGCCTACCTCAAAAGAACCGAAGCTTGAGTAATCTTCTTCATCCAATTCTATCTCTACAGCCAGTGTTCGGGAAAAGCCTACTTTGATAGTACAATGTAGGGAATTCTTCTTTTTGACAAACAACAAAGATAATCTGCTCAAGTCAGCGAAAAGTTACGGTTCTTTGAAAGTGATAGAACATTTGGACCGATCTAATATTAAAAGATAAAGGATGCCGAGTTGTAAACGTTGGTCTCATATGGAAATATGGTGACGGGTCCTTTGAGCAGATGAATTATTTATAGATCAGGCCTTCTTTTAGCAGTGATATCAAACCTATCTCTACGATACTGAATGGGAGCACTCAGTTTTTTGTACAAAATAAAACCCTTTTCAGCTTGATCATATACTTTCTCTTCGCTTTGGTGCGCGGACTCCGTGAAGCCAACCATGATCTTTCCACACAACTGATGCACGTTAGTCAATGCTTTATACACTATACAGAGCCTCAAACAATTGCCCACACAGGAACGTACTGAAGAGAAGAAAAAGATCTTTGAGTTGGCAGGAGGTGGAAAGAAGAGACGTCCTGTAACACTAGCTAGAAAGCAAAAAAACAAAAAAAAACCACCAGGGCTTTGGTCATCTGTGAGTCTTCGACCTTTACTGCCTAATGTCATCTGTATTTCAAGGATGATGATTCACATTCGTATCCAAAGTCGATCAGCAGTGTGCCACGCTCTGTTGCATCCGGTGGTCGAACATTTGTGCCGTCGCTAGGGTATGTGTACATATCTGCTCAGTTACAACGCATTCCATTCAACATTCAAGTTTTTTAGTTCTCTGTCCGAAGTGGAGCATAGTGACACAGAGGAATCCGATCATGAAGTGAAACCACCTGTTGAACTAACATGGCGCCAACAGTTTCTTGTGTGTATTGGTTTGGCCGATCGGAAGCAGTAAGTTGACACAACACTAAATCTCACACTACCTTCAGAAGCTAGTGCGACAGTTGTAGTGGTTTGCAGTTTCCACTGATAAGTGGCAGGCGATGCTGGCACATGGAAAAAGGTTTCAATGCCCTCATCAAGCGCTCTAATATTTCAAAAAGCTTCTCGTATCATAAATATGTAACAAGGAATGACAGTGTGGTTTGGCAGATCAAGAGCCTATGAGCGGCCTTACGTTGAAAATGTTTTGGTGAATTTTGGCAATAGATGCCATCGTTACAAGCGCACCTATGTGCTTAGTGTTTTTGAATATTATTCATGCAAAGAAGCTTACTTACCTAAATGCTTAGATGGCCCGTCCTCACGTGGTATGCACGCGGTATGCAGGCACCTTTAGCTAGGCTTTCGGTTGGTACCGGATACTTCTCTGCAGCTTGGGAGACCCTACCAAAGTACACATCTGGCTATATTGCAGTTCGACGCCCAGTATCACCACCAACACGTTGCGACAAAAAGTTGTGGGAGGCCGCTGTGTGCGTTTTCCAAATACTGAGGGTTTTATTTATTGTTGGTGATTATCTCTTAACTTAATTAGATATTCACTATTAGATGCTTAGATGGTCCATCCTCACCTGACGTGCGGGCCCCAGTACAGAAGTTTCCAGTGATCCCTGTCC